TCGTTTCTTAAGCTTCTTCTCTTTCGATCCTGCTGGTTTCTTCTTTTCCTGATTCTTCTGGGTATTTTGCGATTTGGTTCTTCATAAAGTTATCAGCTTGTGAAGGACTCTTGTGACTAATCTGTGGTAACTCTGTTCTGGGTTTAAAGCTTGGGGATTTCTAAATTTCTAGAGCTTTCGTCTTGTAGTGTGTCTGTTTGGGTTTCTAATCGGCGAAAGGCTACGAATCTGGTTGGAAGACTTAAACTTTGAAGATGTCTGTCACGATTTATGATGGAAAGATGAATGATACCTTCAAAGACTTGAAGCTTGCGGTCACTCTGAATGGGAACAACTTTCTGTTATGGAAGCGGACTACTTTGAATGTGTTAGGAGGAAGGAAACTCACAAAACACATTGAGTCCACCTATGAGGAGCTAAAGGCAACTGATGAAAGTTTAGATGAGGGTACTTGGAAACAATATGATCTGAATGTGCTTAGTGCTCTACACTGCTCACTAGAGGCGTCAATCCTAGAGGGTTATTCGTATTGTGAGACGGCTAAGGAGTTGTGGGATACTCTCACAAGCGTATTTGGCAACGAGTCTAACTTGACTCGGGTTTATGGTATCAAGAAAGCTCTTGGCAATCTGAGCCAAGAAGAGAGTGATTTCAACACTCACTTTGGGAAGTACAGATCTTTGGTTGCTGAGCTAGAGATGTTAAGACCCTTCACCACTGATGCAAAGACACTCAAGGAGCGTAGAGAGCAAGATCGTGTGTTCGGGCTATTGTTGTCACTAATTAACTCAAGCTATACTGATGTAATCCAACACATTCTGAGGGAAGATAAGAGTCCAACTCTAGAACAAGTATGTGCTAAGATACAAAAGGAGTATGGTACTCATGAGTTGTTTGGCACCAAGAGCATAAGTCTCCCTACAGCTAACAAGGTGGGATTTCCGCCGCAAGGAGACAAGAGGACATTGGTTTGTGAGCACTGTGAGAAGAAGGGCCACCTCAAGGACATATGCTGGATACTACAGCCCCATTTGAAGCCAGATAAGTTCAAAAAGGACCAGGTAAAGGCTAACGTGGCATAAGCAAGCGTAGGCTCCGAGAATGGCGAAAGGGCCATTGTGCAATACAGTCATCATGAGAAGGCGTTGCAAGCTACACTAGACAAGAGTTCTGCTTCCATTTCTCAAGAGACCATTGTGATGAACAAAGCCGATCTAGAGAGCCTTCTTCAATCCATTGCCTCCATATTACATCCCGGGGGTATCTCTCTCTTTACTTCTAATTCTAGTGATTTAAACTCATTAGTATAGGACTCAGGAGCTTCTCATCATATGATTAGTCATCCTAAGTTGTTAGAGAACCTTTAACCGGCTTTAGGGAATGGTTAGGTTGCAAATGGTCATAATGTGCCAATAGAAGGTGTAGGTTGCATCAGTCTGTTCAATAAGAAATCTAGTGCTTTCTATATGCCTAAGTTCACTTCAAATCTTCTTTCTGTTAAGAAAACGACTAAGGACTTGAACTGTTTAGCTATTTTTAGTCCTAACGACGTGAAGTTGCAGGATATTGAGAGTGGAAAAGTGTTTGGGCAAGGAAGCACCAAGGATGACTTATATGTGTTTCAAGACATCTCTTTAAATTCTGTTTCTAAGAATAATGTTTCTTCTATCTTTGCAAATTCTGTTAAGACATCGGTTGTATTGTGGCATGAGAGACTTGGCCATCCACATTCTCGAGCTTTAAGTTTGTTAATGCCTGGCTTTTCTTATGATTGTTCAAACTGTGAAGCATGCATTTTGGGTAAACATTGCAAAGTAGTTTTTCCCAAATCCAATACGATTTATGAGAAGTGCTTTGACCTAGTGCATTCCGATGTTTGGACTTCACCTTGTGCATCTAGAGATAATCATAAGTATTTTGTCACATTCATAGATGAGAAATCTAAGTATACTTGGGTAACTTTGCTTCCATCTAAGGATAGGGTTTATGATGCATTTTTAAACTTTCAAAACTATGTGACTAATCACTTTGATGCCAAGATTAAAATCCTAAGAACAGATAATGGAGGTGAATATACAAGCACCAAGCTCAAAGAACACTTGGAGAAATGTGGAATCCTACATCAAACGAGTTGTCCATACAATCCTCAGCAAAATGGAGTTGCAGAGAGAAAGAATAGGCATCTAATGGAGGTGTCAAAAGCTATGTTATTTCAGAAGCATATGCCAAAACGGTTTTGGGGAGATGCGGTTATGACGGCATGTTATCTCATCAACCGAACACCAACCCGTATCCTTAATGATCAATCTCCTTTTCAAGTCTTAAATAATCAGAATCCTAACATTGATCATTTAAGAGTATTTGGAAGTCTTTGTTTTGTGTTTGTCCCAGGTGACTTAAGAAACAAGCTGGAACCCAAGAGTACCAAGTGCGTATTCATTGGATACTCAACAACTCAGAGGGGTTACAAGTGCTTTGATCCAGTCAACAATAGATATCATGTATCTAGGGACGTCAAGTTCATGGAAGACAAGGCTTATTTTGGAGAAAAGAGTTGGGAAAGTGTGAAAGATTTGCCTAATTCGACTTCAGATAGAGCTAAAAGTCTCCGACATATTCTAGAGCATTTGGGTAATGTTAGTTCTTCACAAGAAGATGTGGAAATTACACCAAATGTGGATACCAATGAAGCTCAAGAAAGTGGTGATAATGCAACACAAGAGCCTCGGGATATCCAACAAGAGAGTGGTAGAGAAGAAGGGGTAAGTGAAGAAGTGGAAGAGAAAGATCCATCTAGTGAAGGTGAAATTATTGAATCATCAAGCGGAGATGAGACTTATCAAGCTCCACCAGTAACACAAGATCCAATCTACACTCGGGAGAATCCAAGAAGGGGTACAAGAGAAAGGAAATCGAAGAAGTGCCACTATAATTGCCAAGTCGTGGCTCATCCAATTCAAGCGACATGTTCGATTGACCTTCTTCCCGAAGAACATAAGGCTTTTATCAGTAAACTAGATGTGGAATTTGTACCACAAAGCTATGAAGAAGATAAGGAAATAAAGGAATGGACTAATGCTGTGGATGATGAGGTTCAGGCTATGGTAAGGAACCATACATGGGATGAAGAAGAACTTCCACCAGGGAAGAAGTGTGTGAGTTCAAAATGGGTTTTCACCATAAAGTATAAGAGTGATGGTGAAATTGAGAGATACAAGGCTAGACTAGTGGCAAGAGGGTTTACTCAGACCTATGGTGAAGACTATAGAGAGACTTTTGTGCCAGTAGCTAAGCAACACACGGTAAAGGTTGTCCTTTCTCTAGCGGTGAATTTGGATTGGGAATTGTGGCAGATGGATGTCAAGAACGCTTTTCTTCAGGGGGAGTTAGAAGAAGAAGTGTATATGACATCACCTCCGGGCTTAGAGGATACAGTAGCTCCAGGAAAGGTTTTAAGACTTCGAAAAGCTATATATGGCCTCAAACAATCCCCAAAAGCTTGGTACCAAAAGTTGAGTTCAACCTTGCTTAGAGAAGGCTTCAAAAGGTCACATTCGGATCACACTTTGTTCACTAAACAAGATAATCAAGGAATCGTAGTAGTGTTGATCTATGTTGATGACTTGATTATCTCGGGCAGTAACAAAGAAGGTATCCAAGCTATTAAGTCTTCTTTACACTTGGCTTTTGATATTAAAGATTTGGGTGTTTTGAAGTATTTCTTAGGGATCGAGGTGTGTAGATCCAAGGAGGGACTGTTTCTCTCACAAAGGAAATATGCTCTTGATCTTCTAAAACTTACAGGGAAGCTTGGAGCTAAACCAGTTGATACACCATTGGAGCAAGGTTACAAGGTCAATCGAAAGGGGGAGAAAGATGACACTCCTTATCATTGCCCAGAACAATACCGAAGACTCGTTGGTAAGCTTATATACTTGACATATACTCGACCTGACTTGTCTTTTGCTGTGAATCAGGTAGCTCAACACATGAAAGAGCCCACTGTTTATCATTGGAGCTTGGTGGAGAGAATTCTGAGATACATCAAAGGAAGTCCTGGCAAAGGCATATGGATGGGAAGAAACTCTAGCACAGAAATTGTTGGATATTGTGATGCAGATTACAATGGCGATCGCAACACAAGACAATCAACAACTGGCTTTTGTACATTCATTGGTGGGAATCTTGTGACTTGGAAGTCGAAGAAGCAGAAAGTGGTCTCTTGTTCGAGTGCTGAAGCAGAGTATAGGGCTATGAAGAAACTCACAAACGAGTTAACATGGCTAAAGGCTTTGCTGAAGGACTTTGGGATCGAGCATAAGACTCCAATCACCTTTCATAGTGACAATCAAGCGGCGATCCATATTGCTACAAACTCAGTGTTTCACAAGAGGACTAAGCATATAGAGACCGACTGCCACAAGACTCAGGAGAAGATCGAAGATGGTACTATCTTACCTTGTTACACCAAGAGCTTAGACCAATTGGCCGACATATTCACCAAGGCAGCAAGTACCCAAGTTTGCGAATTTATCCATGGCAAACTTGGGCTTGTAGACCTCACACATCCTTGAGATACCTCTCCACTTATGTCAGTAATACTCTTTTTCCCTAAGATCGGTTTTGTCCCACGTGGTTTTCCGATCTTAGGTTTTTAATGAGGTTACTAGCATAAGTGTCAAGTTTATACAAATGAATATTGTAGTATAAATTGAGGGGGAGTGTTAATCAAGAAGGTGTTTAATACTAACTAAATCAATAGTTAGATATTAAACACAAGTTACTTATATTGAGAAACCGCCGGTCTGAGACACCCGCCTGGCTAGGCAAAGAGATCCAAACTGGCAGGGACAAGTATAAACCCGCCTGTCTGGGACACCCGCCTGGCTAAGACCTGCCAGTCTCCTCTATGTCATTTTAACCTAATCTCTTTTATATATAAAGGTTGTAGCCACCATTGTAAAGTTTTAAACACAACTTTTAATCAATACATTTCATACCTTTTCTCTCCATTTCTAGTCATGAGTGTCGACACATTTCCTTCTTAATCTTCTATTCTTATCACCATCCGCTATTGGATGATTTGATTTTTTGGTTTGGTATATTTAATTTCTAGTCGAGGTATCAACATGTATGTTAGGATTTCAATTTTAACTTGTAATCATTTTTTATTTTAAATTTAAAATTTTTGTGTTTAAGAGTTTTTTTTTTGTAGGCTTTGTGTTTAAGAGTTTTTTTTTTGTAGGCTTTGTGTTTAAGAGTTAGAATTTAGATCTAAATTTTAACTTAGTTTTATATAATTCTAGATTATTTCTCAAAGTTGTCCCAAACTATATTTTAGCAGAATTAATATTTTTAATATGAATCTATATTGAAATGCATATATATACGATAAAAGTACCGGTCCAACACTATCCATTGAACTGTCAGTAATAAATAAATAAATGAAAAACTATTTTCTTTTCACTAATCCTTGTACACATAATGCAGTAAAACAGAAAAGTAAAGAACAGTCCAAAATGATAGAAATATTTCATGTTACTTCGTTCTTTATATATAAAGCACTCTCATTAATCTTTCAACCATAATAAACAAATAGCGATACGAAATTATACAACTGCGGATACATGACCATTCACGATCAGAAGAATCAAAATCTTATAAAGACGAAAAACAAAAGAAGTAATGATATCATGACAATATAAAGTAAACTATTTAAAAAAAAAAAAAAAAAAAAAAAAAAAAAAAAAGAGTAAACTATTTATTTCACATGATGTTTAATGTCATTGCGTTACATACGACTGATTTACTCCAATCAAGTCGTTGATATCTCCCATGTCTGACTCATATGTAGACTGGTTTGAGTCGTTGCCCATTTGTTGTCCGAATAGAGGGGATGATCCAGTAGCCATATGAGCCACTATCATCAAAACATTTAACTAGTCACATCTCTAGAGTACATAGATATTAGTCAAGACCGAAAATACATATATCTTAATGTAGAAAAAATATGGATATAATTTAGTCACTCAATATGTATACAAAAACTACACCAAATACATAAAGAGAATGAATGTATACCTGACGTAGGTATAGCCAGGGCTTGTAGCCTTGCTTTGCGACGATTCGCTAAGATAACAGCAATGAACACATATGCGATAAGAGCAAACATTACTGCGGATACAGAACCGAGTATAGTTGGCAGTTTACTATTCTTTCCTTCACTGGCTGACCCACCTGACCCAATATCAAATGTTGTTTTTTTACTTGCATATAAGGGATAATAAACGTTTTAAATATTTGATTTGTTATTTTCATTACATGTAATGGAACTAGGAGCTTTCATCAAACTAATAAACCTATCAAGATCACAAGTTGAATGGATAGAGAAGTCCAAATACAAACCTGAGCTCACATCATTGCTCCCTCCAGTTCCTCCATTGTTAGTTCCACCAGAGCCTAAACACACAAAAATTAAGTTTATTTCTATAAGATTAAGTGACTATATGATCCAAACATGCTAATAACTTTGTTCATATTGGTAATTCGAGATTTTACACCAAAACCTAGACTAATCACTGAAAATGCATCTCCAAAATAACAAACCTCCAGATCCGCCACTCTTAGACCCTCCTCCTCCGCTTCCAGCACCTCCACCGGATCCTGATCCGCTTTTGTTTCCGCCTCCGCTTCCACTTGTACCCGTACTTATCACATAAATCTCCAACGCATTTATAATGGGCGGTAACAGCGCACTAGGGGTGGACTGGAACACCAGCTCGGAGCTTGAGCTAGCCACCACATCTCTCACGACCACTTGCGTGGCTTTTCCATACACGGGCACAATTGGTCCTTTACCAACTTGCTTACCGCCATATAATATGTTGAACGATCGTACACTCAACTCAAGAGGCTCTGAGAAATACATAGCCAAATAAACTGGAACTCCTTCCGAAGGAAGAGTAGGGTCAACTAATGATAAGCCTTCCCCGGTCCAAGAGTTACGGAGGACGGACTCAGGTGGCTTGTTTGATGCACCAGAGATATCGATTGATGCAGCCGTGGATGGTACTCCTGTCAACAATATGTTTATCTCCAACGGAAGCCAGAACCTACCTTGAAGATCCGATCTAACCAACAAAACGAAAATATTATATCAACTTGTAGCTATAGGTTTAAATCATGTATTTTAATCAGATTCCGGGTCGGTTTACATATCTATAGTTAAATCAGATTATGGTCCGATTTGTCGTTCAAATATGGCATTTATGTTTGTGCTTACGTAAAAATCATTTCAAAGCTTTCATTTTTATCAATATTTTTGCAAATTGTAAAAACGGTAATGGAATGGAATTTTTTTCCCGTTACGTTTAATTTGTTTCTTCTGATTAAAAAACGCTTGAAGTTAATGGTGAACATAAATATAAATATAAAACATATTAGATCTATGTTTTTGTTACGTATACACGTAAATGGATATAGATGTTACCTTATAATTTCTGTTGTGCCATACGCACGTCGTTGTTGGTAAAATAAACCTTCACCAGGACCAAGCTCGTTATACATGCCATCGTCCAAGTCGGAAACTTCAATGGAAGATACAAAAGGGTTTGATGATGAAGACGTACGTACAAAACAAACGCTGGTCTCTCCGCTGGCCGGAGAAAATATCAGCTCCAAAAGATAAGGTTCGAACGCCGATGATATCGATACGGTGCCTCGGTGTTTCCCTTCAAACACTACGTTGAAGGATGGGGTTGAGGACTTCCCGTCGTAATTCCCGTAGTAAAACATCGTTCTCACAAGAACTTTTCCACCTTTTGTAACTGGAATGTTGGAGTAGCAATTGGAGTCACCGGTGGGAAAGTACCGAAGTGTGGTGAGGGATTTCTCTACGGTGGTGGACGAAACGGTGGCCGACTCTCCGGATGTGATGAAGTCTTTGTCTCCGACCCATTTTAGGTTGTTGTTGTCTACACCGGGCAATGACGTTCCACAGTCTATGTTTACGCCTGCATTTGATTATGCATGATGATTAATATTTGATTATGATGATCATGAACGAAACAATAAAAAGAATTAATCTATTAATTATGTAGATCGATACGGACGAAGATGTTCTGCAAAATCCAAGACTCTTCATGCTACTAAGCTTACCTAATAGGATAAACAAAGAAAGAAATTGAATTACGTGCGAATCAAAAATACTTACTGGCTAGAGAGAGGGTTATGACGGAAAGAAAGAATAGAAGAAAAGGCAAAGCAGCAGCCATGGCGGGAGCTAATTTTTCAACTAATGTTTTATACAAAATTTATATAGAAACCCGAATATATGTACCTCATATGTGTATATAGATGTTATATATGTTATCTAGTTTTTTTTTTTTTGGTAAGCATATATGTTATCTAGTTGAGCTGTCTATTAGTATTTTAAAACCAAGTTGAAAATGAAATCTAGTAAACAAAATAAAAAATGAGAACATTCCTTTAGAGTTTTGACCTATTTTTATTTTCCAGCGAGGAAACAATTGGTTCTTGAAGAACGGGCAACTACAAAATATCTACAACATAAAAAACATATATAAATATATTTACAACATGCATTTTGATATTGATATTTCCCAGTCATGCTAACAAGTTAGGAAATTTATGTCCAATGCCAATCTTAACTTTTGACATTAGTTATACACAATTTGAAATCTTATATTACCAAAGAAAAAAAATAAAAAAATAACTTGAGGCCTAGTGATCTAAGTAGACTTAAGGAGCAAAGCAACTTAACCCCTTGATTATATTATAGAAATTCTAGACATTTTTAAGATCACAAGGCCTAAATTACCTAGAAATATCGTCCTAGAATTTGAGTCATCCAACTAGATTAACCTTTATTAACAATTATGAGAATCCTAAATTTTCGTTTAAATTATGATAAGACCGATCGAGGTCACTACCCTAAAACTTAAGGACTAGGAAAAAGCGACTAATCTTTGCAGATTTTTTTGTTTTTTTTGTTTTAAGGTAAATTTTGGAGAATTGTTTTATTTATTTTGGAGAAATCGACTCATGTTTGCAGAATTTAGCTACACCCCTATTATCCCAACCTATTTTATTTGCATTGTTCGATCTGAATAACCAATTGCGGCAACTATATTTCAAAACACTCTCTCATTAAAATTTACTTATTGATATCACCATATTCATTACTACAAAACAAGATAAACGAAAAAGAGAAAGGATAATCACACATTTTTGTCATATATCAGCATATCACCATATTTATTTCACATATCACACATTTTTGTCTTCAACTTTCAAAACTTCAAATTCCCTCTAACCGGAGATATCAATGGACTTGACCTCAGGCTTACTCTCCGGCACTTTCGGCACCGTAACGGACAACACACCATTCTCCATACTCGCCTTCACTTCCTCCACCTTCGCATTCTCCGGCAACCTAAACCTCCTAATGAACTTCCCACTTGATCTCTCCACACGGTGCCACTTGTCGCTCTTCTCTTCGTTCTCACTGCTCCTCTCTCCGCTTATCTGAAGTATGTTCCCATCTTCAACCTCCACCTTCACCTCTTCTTTCTTCAACCCCGGCAAGTCCGCCTTGAACACGTGCGCCTCAGGTGTCTCCCTCCAATCAGCCCCGGCTCAGATGGGTAGGGCAGAAGTGCGACGGCCCGGGGCTTTTTTTTTATAAAAAAATTTTACATATAAAAAGGCCCAAATATTTTTTAAAAATATTATTAATATAAAAATTATATTTTAAGAGACCTAATTATTTATAAAAAAATGTATAAAAAGGCCCAAAATTTTTAAAATAACAAATTTTACTATAAAAACTCCGCAAAATTTTTAAAAATTAAGTAAATTTTCTCTTTGTATATAATAATAAGCAAAAAAAAAATTTTTGAGAGCCTTAGGGCAAAAAAAAATTTTTTTGCCCTAAGGCTCTCAAATATATTGAGCCGGGACTGCCTCCAATCCACTTTAGCGTTTGTGAACGCTGCCACGTCCTTAGCCGGTGCGTTTGCCAACCCTGACGGAGTCAAGAATCCTTCGAATGGATCCCATACGTCTAGTGAAAATGGGTCGAACACATTTGTTCTTCGGCTTCCAAAAAAGCTCGGAATTAGAGACATCGTTTCACTTACTCTTGGCGCTTGCTCTGTTTTGTTTTGCTTTGCTATGAACTCTTTCACTCTTTTTTTGATGCAAACAATTATGTGCCTTGGCATATTTATAGGGAGAAAAAATGGGAGAGCGGACAAAAAGTTCTGCAACTTTCTAGAAATTTCAGGTTTCTTCTTTTCTTTTCTTTGGAACGTTTTGTCTTTTAAGAGTATCCTACTAGATTCTCAGGTAACTTCAAGAAGTTTCGATGTTTATCGTTGAGATGACATGCAGTTCATCAATTAGGGTAGTGAACGCCATGCCGTTTTATTTTAACATTGGCTTTTTTAATGTGCTTTAATATGACATGGAACTAATCACGTGTTTATTATAATGAACACTTATATTTGCTGCTAAACTAAGAGCAGCATTAACGGTGATATCTTAGAGATATCTTAGGATTAAAATTGATTAAAAATAATTATACCAACAAAATTAATCTAAGATTTGTATCTTAGTTAGGATGTTTTTGTTAGCTTAAGATGTTGATACGTGTCACTGTGTAACAGGTTCAAAAAACAATCAAAAGGCGAATTTTTTTCTTCTGTATGTTTTAAATTTTTTTTTTCTGTATGTCCTTAGAGCAGAATTTTTTTCTTCTGTAACAGGTTCAAAAAAAAGATGTTGATAAATTGTATCTCATGTATGTTTTAATTTTTTTAATTTACAACTATTATTAAATTTTCTATAATTATAAATTTTATTTTTATATTAATATTTGTTTTTCTAAGAATCACATGTTAAGAACCTACCATTAATCACACAAAAATCTTAACTCAAAAATACTATCTCTTACCTATCACTTTTACAAATATATTACTTAAATATTCCTAAGATTTATTTTTAAGATACTACTAATAATCATGCTCTAAGGGGTTATTGAACGTGAGAATTTAATAGAATATCTAAACAAAAAACGTGAAAAAACAATTCCCACCATTTATGTTTTGATTGGATAGAATTCATTTTTTTTAAATTTTTTCTTATTATTGTTATTTCATTCAATTTTCTAAATTCAATTGTTGAATACCTCTTCTTATATATGTCTTATCTTAGGAAGAAAGATAAAAAGACAAAAAAATGGTAATATTTAAAAAAGATAGGATATATTTAACCATATATTTTAAAGGATAATTCACGAAAATACCACACTATTAAAAGTTTTGTTGGAAAGATATAATCACTAGTTTTTTTATCTTCTAATAATACCACAAATTCAATATTAAAATAAATCAAAATCTCTTTTAAATGGTGTAAATATATCTATATTAGAAATAGAAAACCCAAATATATTATTTTTTAATTTGATTTGTAATGTTTTTTGGTTAAACAAATATTTTTTACACAGAAAATTATGGTATTGTTCGAAAATAAATTACTGATGATATTTTAAAAACAAAAACTCTAAAAAGAAAACATTAAAAAAATCTTAATCTATATATTACTCCACAGTTATTGTGAAATGGTAGTAGTAGTAAAAGCAAAAACAAACCACTAAAACCAATCAAATCATCATACAAAGAAACTCCAAAACTAGACCGGCAATGATGATTTTTTTTTGTTTGGTTTCTACTCACTAAACACGAAATAAAAGAAAAAATACGAGATAAAGATAACGAAAAAATAAAAATAAAAATACGAATTATATATGACAATAGAAAGGTTGAAAAAAGTTTTAACCCACACCAAAAAAAAGTCTGAAAGCAATATGATAAAGACCATTCTAAAATAGATATACTTGTTTCCAAGATTGTTTGTTTATATATCTTGCTTCTCCGAACACAATTAATTTTCTGTAATTTTCCTTTCAAACCTTTTGTCGAAATATTAACTTCTACGATTAAGAATCATCAACTATATCATTTGAGTTCTAGAGCCAAATGCAACTGCTTGGAACAAATCTAACCCTTTGGACAAAAAAAAAAGAAGAAAAAAGAAGAAAAAAGAAAAAGAAAGAACAATCCTAATCCAACCAAAGTCAGATTGAACGATCATGTTCCCGTACATGTCCTATCAACTACGTGCAATTCATCTGGTCGGCGGGTGAACACCCTGTTGTTTATGTCTTCTATATGGGCTTTGTTAATGGGCTTTCATACTGTTGCCTATAAATTCATTTACCTAACTCAAAATTTTCTAACCAACTAGCTTTCTACAAATATGATAACCAAGTCATACCAATGCATGTAAGGAATTCAGTTTTAATTTTGTTTTTTGGTTTTTGTTTTTTTTTTTTTTTTCTGTTAAAGGATTTTCTTATATAAACACTAAAAGTATACAAAGAACCAAATATAGAATCATTACAACAAGAAAAAGAAAAGAACTAGTAACCAGTACTAGAAAGACCAAGGATCTAAACACATGAAACTTGAAAAACAGAACCTAAGCTAAGGTGCACCCTTAGGTAGTCCAGCATTGAAGAATTGAAAGCCCACGCTTTAAACCTAGCTGAAGCATTGCATTACACTTATTTTCTATGGAAGAAAGAATGACCCGTGTAACTATGGCTGGAGATAAGGTGATACCATCATGAAAGCGTCGATTTCTCTCTCGCCATATTCATATATTGCACCTTGCCATCCTTGAAGGAGAGCAAGTATTTTGTTCCTGGAGACTAAAGTCGTTGGCAGCCAAAGGAGGATCTGATCCCATAAGAGCGGAGAAGATGAGATGTGAAGTCTTTGTGTGATCAATCGCCAAACCTCAACAGAGAAAACACAGTTAAAAAACAGATGATTTCTCGATTCATGGGCTAACCCACAAAGGAGACAATCTAACTCAACATCATAGCCCCAAGAAGATAAACGATCAAGAGTAGGGTTACGATTGAGGATAAACAACCAAGAGGTTATAACATGTCGTGGGATGGCAGCTTTGTGCCATACAAGAGGAGCCCAATAATTTACTGGCTTTGAAATCCTAACCGCATTCCATACCGCTTTGGAAGAGAAGTGCTTGTAAGGAATACCATCAACAGCCCAAACTAGAGTGTCATTTGATGAAGAAATGGAAATGGTAGAGATGAAAGAGTGTAGAAGAACTTGTTTCTCTGATCTGGCATTAGGGAGAGACCATCCATCCTCAATTCTAAGTTCAGCCACAGTTGAAAACAGAGAGATCCCTAGATGAGTAGGACCATCAGAACCCAGAAAATGGTAAAGAGATCCAAAAGGAGTCCATGGATCCCACCAAAAGAAGGTAGAATCACTATTGCCAATTTTGATGCTGAAAAACTTAAGAACTTTGGGACGAAGCTGAAGAAGTTTTCTAAATATCCGTGAGTAAGAAGCATTTTTTCCATTGAGAGTCCACAAAGGAGAAGTAAAAAGATACTTACTTCTTATCCAGGCCACCCACAAAGAACCGTCTCTAAAAAACAGCAACCAAAAAAGTTTCAAGGCACAAGTCTCATTCCAACTGCCAATGTTCCTTAATCCAAGTCCACCCTCCATTTTAGGGAAACATATGTCATACCATGACACTTTTGCCCCCGTGGATGTATCAATCTTGCCACGCCACAAAAAAGAGCTGCAGAGGCCATTAATCCTCCTAATAACCTGCTTTGGAAGGAAGAAAGCACGAGATAACTGTAGAAATAAGTGTTAACCGTCCCGCCAAACTCAGAAACTTGTGAGTCCACGAGTTTAGTTTCTTCCTTATTTGAGACAGTAGTGGATCACAGTCTTTGACCGAAAGCTTTTTTTAGCATAAAGGGAGACCCAAGTACCTGACTGGAAGCGAGACATGCTTCAGATTAAAAAGGAATTGTAGCCGAGTTAAGCAACCCTCACTTATACCAGAACAAAACATGGAGGTCTTTTCAATATTCATACCCAACCCAGACATTTTCTCAAATTCTGAGAGAACTGACATAACACCATTCAAAGATTGCTCAGATCCTTCTAAGAAGATTAATAAATCATCAGCAAAACAAAGAATAATTTTGTTTCCTAAGAATAAAGTTAAGCCATCTCTATTTTCTCAAATCAGTACATTTAATTTCTATTGGTTGAAGCCACGTTAAGTGCTACCATGCACTTATGTAGAGTTATTCCTACCTTAAATATTTATCCAAATTTGAAAGAAAAAAATAGTATAAAATAAAAGGAGATGCAATATGATTGATATTTTAAAATGGATAATAATAATCATGTTATTTTTGTCAACTATATGATAATGTGGAGGTGTAAGTCGAAGTGCTCTCTCTAAGCTACCGTTGGCCTTTGCTTCTCTGATGTGGACTTACCATATCAGCATACTCTTTTAATATATATAGGATAACTAATTATACCTTAATGTGTTTTGAAATAAGGTTCTTGTGAACGTGATCCGAGAGTGTGGAAGAATCTGATGCAATTCGAGCTAGAGTGATTTTGAGATGATTCCGTTTAGAGCTAGCTAGATATAGGATTTTTCACTCGCGTTTAGGATAAGTATTGCATCTAGTTCTTCCGTCTCTTCTACGTGGAGTTTCAAAAAAAAAAAAAAACGTTCCTGAAAAGAGCCGAACAAGAAACATGTTTGACATCATTTTCTTTTTGTAGTTTCTCCACAAGTCTAGTTCGGTTTCCATCCGGTTACTTAATCTTTGAAAGTTATGGAAGAAGTCTAGTTTATGCATCATCTTAAAATTAAATATACCCTTACTTTAAAATCATTCATAACTACGCATATCACATATTGTCCCTTACTTTTATGCAAGCATATATATATATCAAAGAATGATTTGTTACAACGAAAATAACATGCATAGATTAAAATAACAAATTTTAAAGAAACAAATTATGTTAAAAAGAAAAAAAAACTGTCCAAACTATTGTTATATACACTTATAAGAAACCTATGTGGAGTTTGAATTGCTATTTTCTTAATTTCTCTCACACTTTTGTCATTGGATTTAATTACTTCGAAAATATTGGGCTATTTGTTTCTACTATAAATTGAAAACTACATACTCATTTCATCTAATTTTGTTGTTGAGTAAATTTTTGTACTAATGTAATATTATATATTTGTATCCTTATTTTTAAAATCCATTCAACATATGTATATATTATACTAGATATGGACCCGTGCGTTGCACGGGTTGCCGGTCGAGATTATCATTCTTAACATTTTTATTTTATTTTTGTAAGCTTAATTAAAATTCTATAAACATATAATTTTTAGAAAATGCAGCATAATTATTTTTAAATATAGATTTATTAGCATAATGCGCAATATAAAACACTATTTGTAGTTATGTTGTACTAATTATTAAATCATCTAATATAAATGTTGGCCTATTTCTTCACCACCATATCTTTATTTTTTTTTCCCTATCTACATTTCTCACATTTGTCGGGCATCACCACCGAGTCTCATTACTCTGACCCACCACCACAACTAAATCTCACTACTATCACTGTCACCACCACCAACAATATTGAATCTCGCAAATTCCGACTCACCACCTTCATTAATATTTACCGCCGCTACCACCACCAAGCTTGAACCACCATCATCAACACCAACACCACCGCTACCGTCTCTTATCCTTGTTTCCCAACTTCTCTTATTACTTTACCTTCTTTATCTCCTCCGACATTGGACCAAGCCTCTCCAACAATAACTCTACTCTATGTCTATCGCCGTTCATCATTATTAATTTGCCTCAATTGCCATATATTCATTAGATCTAAATATCACATGCTATTTTTAGAAAAACATTGTGATTCACAATTTTTTTTTTATAATTGATATGATATAACATCGTTAAGAAATTAGTTTGCTTGATGAGAAAATATGAGACAATTATTTGTTTATTTAAAGGTGACTATTTACAATCTTTTTTCTTATAGGATTAATAATTGATTGTATAATTTTCTTAATTTTTTTTTATTTTTAAATCTTTTTCTTGTACAATTAGTAACTTATAAATAAAACATTTATCATAATTTCAATTTTTTTTATGGAAAATATACACATAATTTCCTTATTTATAAATAAATTTTTCTTATTATAATTTATTATATTTTTAAAACAATTTAAATTTATAGTTTTGTTATAATTATCTTTTGAAAACAAAAATTTTGTTTGCTAGATGGCAAAAACTCTTATGAAAATATATGTACAATTTCCTTATAATTAGCTTTTTACATTTTAAAACTGTTTAAATTTATAATTTTTTATAATTATCTTTTTACCTTTTTTTTCTTTTTAAAAGGGAAAATTTATTTGACACATGTCAAAATCTCAGATCAAAAAATTTGACACGTGTCACGATCTCGTGAGTTAATAGTTTTGTTATAATTATCTTTTGAAAACAAAAATTTTGTTTGCTAGATGGCAAAAACTCTTATGAAAATATATGTACAATTTCCTTATAATTAGCTTTTTACATTTTAAAACTGTTTAAATTTATAATTTTTTATAATTATCTTTTTACCTTTTTTTCTTTTTAAAAGGGAAAATTAATTTGACACATGTCAAAATCTCTGATCGAAAAATTTGACACTTGTCACGATCTCGTGAGTTATTAACTTTGAAAACCATACTTTATTAATAAGATAATTTAAATTAATTGTTAATAAAATGAAGATGAAGGAGTGTTCGAAGAGGTTTTTTCGGGGTTTTCAAGGGCTCATCATATGCTCGTATTACGTAAAGATCATCGCAAACTGGAGCTGGAGATGTGACATATATATACTTCGAGATTTGAGACGATATATAGCTATTTAGGTTTTGAGCTGATATCGTTTTGATTTGGACGAAGGATATGCCTGCAATATCATTGGCTTTGAGGATTGTGCATGTCATGCTTGCTTCACGTATCAATTCGTTTTAATGGTATCCTGGAAACGTACAACAAAAAAACGTGGTTTCTGAGGATTTGGACATATAGACTTACAGAGGCGGAGCCAAAATTTTTGTTTAGGCGTAGTCATATATTTTTAATGATTTTTATTTAAATATAATAATAAATGATATATTAAAATATAATTTTTCAAGAACATTTAAAATATTTTACCTAAAAAAAACTAAATAATCTTTTTTCTTAATATTATGTAGTTTTTAAAATGTTTCACTTTCCAAATAAAAAATATTTGTAGTTCATCATTCTTATTTTTAGTTATATTAAGGAGATCTATTTTCAATTTTTTTTTTTAAAAAAATATAGTATATTGTGTTTATCTTGCCTTTTTCAAAAAAAAAGGGTTTTGTGTTTTTTTTTTGTTGTGGTTATTGTTGTATGGATTAGAAAAGTCAATTTAAATATTATTGTAAAAACTTAATTCTAAAGATTCATCTTCATTGTGTATTTTAGATTAACATTAGTTTTTTAAAGATGCATCTTCATTGTGCATTTTAGATTAACATCTTATAAGTAATCATTCTCTCATCTTCTTCTATTATATTTATGTGTCTATTTTTATGTTGTTATATGGGTTAAAAATCAAGAATTTGATTCTATATTTATTTTAGAAAGTATTATATATATATATATATATATATATATATATATATATATATATATATATCTTAAATTGTATTCATTTTTTGTATACTTCTAAAGCCATACTAGGTTATACTTATTTCTTCTTTAATTTTCATATTTTCAATTTAAATTCACATATGTAAAATAAAAGTTTTGATGGTTATAACAAAACTTTCAAGTTTATTGGTGATAGAGAGTTAAATATATCAATTTTAATCATGGCACAACAAGGTAATGAAGTTGGAAAGATCCATTTCCATTATCTACTTTAGATGTTTGATTATTTTCTAACATATTCATGTAATTTTTTTAATTATGCAATATTTAATCAAATAAATTATTGTAATACATTTATCAACTATATTTTTCTTACCTCTTTCTTATCTCGAATAAATTTTGTAATTCTTTAATATATGTATCATTATATTTAGTTTTTGTGATCCAATAGATAATTATATAAAGATCGATATAATGTTTATTTTATTTAAAATTTGAGGTTTAAGGGTTTTTTGAAAACAAAAAGCACTTTGTTAAAATAATTTGGTCCTTAAGATTAAAAATATGAAATTTTATGTGTCAAGAAAATTTAATTTAGTTAGAATGAAACCTAGCACTCATACTTAAATGGAGTAAAATATAGAAAAAATAACTATAACTAAAACAAAATTCATATTTTTTAAATCCTATAAAGATGAAACCATTAGTATGAAATCTAGCATTAGAATTTCAATTGATGAGTGAAATTAAAAAAGAAAAAAAAAAAGAAGAAAGATCGAAGTTATTATTGAGATCTTTTAAAAACAATATTTAGATTGAACTTCATATGATTTTTATAAGAAAAACAAGTTTAGTTTGTCACTTATAAAATAATATGAATTTGAACTATTATGTGGGAATTTATATCAACAAATAAACAATTTTTTAGTGTGTTTATATCAACAACTACTAAATATGAGCAAATGCAAAATATCAAATCTTAAGAGCTTTTTAAATTTCTTCCAATCATACTTATATTGAAACAAATTTATTTATAAGAAAATATCCCGCCGCGTAGCGCGGGCTTTTATCTAGTATTAAATAAAAAGATTAAGTAATTATTATTACATTCACGTTACAACTAAACATTCATAAATGTTATGGGGTCAACTCAGATTGGGAGAAGCATTGAGATGTTAAACTCAGATTTTGCGACTGATTGAGCTGGGCTGAAGTTAAGGCCAGAACCAAGAGTCCATGTATTCAACACCAAGTTAAACCACATCCAACCACCACTTTCATAGTAAACAAACAGTTATCG